TATTGCTAATAAATATGACAACCCGAGTCTACGGTCCGTTCCAAGAAAACCCATTCCAAGTTTTTATGGAATAAATAGTGTCCGCCGGATCCGAGAATCGTTCGTACAGCTCGGCAAACTCCCCTTCGTTCATCCGTCGTCGCCGTGGCGGACACTGTTTCGAGCGGCCCCCTTCTTGGGTTATACACATAACCCGGATTGTCCTCGTAAAACTTCTTTTCCACCACACTGGCCGCCAGAACGTAGACGCGCCTCTCCCCTGCGCTCAACCTCTGCCACGCCTGTCCCGCATGCCGGATAACATCCCGCGACTGAGTTGTGGTTGAGCTGTAAAGCTCCAACTTGAATTCGTTCTTCTTTTATAACAGCATACTCGTTGCTTGTGGGCATTTGTATAAAAATATATGAAATGCATGTATTGTTGGGTACATCAAAATGTTGAAAATGATCATTGTTCGCCGTGTCGGAATGAAGAACGCATTTTTGAGCCTCCTCGGCGACCCATGCTTGTTCGGCCTGTTGTTGTACGCCGGCAGTTCGGCCTTACTGCAGACGAGATTGGCCTTGCGATAGGCCTCGTCGAATTGTTGTTCCGAGTTTGCGGGGAAGGTTCTGCGCATGTTGTTGTGTTTAAATTTTTGGGTAAGAGGGATGTTGTAAATTGACTTGCGCAGATTACGAATGTATAAGTGGTAGTAGAATACTTTGTATTTAGATTATCATGAATGTGTTAAGAGCAATATGACACCGAGTATACTCCATAAACTTTACATCTTTATTAAGGAGTATAAACGTGCGTACTATTGCGTGCACGTCGTTATAGAACACTAAATAACATTATTGAATAAATGAAATAATGAAAAGTTAAATAAAATAATAAAAGATGGACACTGAGTTATCCCACTATTATTGGGCGTCAGTATCTCTGGGTATTCGTAGGTTGCTCGCTGCGCTGCTTGAGACGACAGAAAAGCAGATATCTAGATTGCACCCGCTGATAATAAGAAAATCCCACACAAACCACGTGATAATATGTTTCACATAGTGCACACCATCCTCAATTTATATTTATAGACTTTACAAACGCGTTACTTATTACAAACCTCATTTTTTAAGATAATAATAAACTACAAGCACACCAAAGTAGGCACGTGCCTTATCGCCTAGTACTCTTCGCGTTAGGAACTAATTTGACGTTACCATCTATTTCGTCAGGCAAGATCAGGTTGTTTTAAAATTTATCTAAACAAAGTTTATTCTGTTTTTGATTCCTAGTATTTGCAGTGAATGGACTTACAATGTGAATTTCATAATATCAGCAGTAACACTTTATTTGTCGCATGCAATTTAGACAAGAGGAATTGATAAAATTATTGTAATTAGAGGGACCGATGTATGTAAATGTTGTCCATATTTGCGTCGTCGTTAGATTAACCCAAGTCATTTGATATTAATCGTTTGTCCTTTTTCAGATAACTCGACGACTGGACGTGATATCGAACAGAAGCCATGGAAAGGCTTAGAATGCTGGAAACGACTTCGGTATATATTAATGTTGCAGTTATCATGTATGCAACAGTAATACATATGTCGCTCGTACATTATCCTGACGCAAGCGCTTTG